ACTATGGAATTAGGAAATTGAAATGTTAAGGATCCCTGAAAGTTTTAATCTCAAAACTTAAACACTCACAAGACATGCCCACACTGAACAAGTCACTAGATTTGTTAAATTACATGCAGAGAGAAATAATGAAAAAAAAAAAAAACTCTACATATGCAGATCAACCTTTGCTTTATCTATGTAATGTTTTTCTATGTAAGATTGTGAATTTAAACACGCACTCACTCTTGCTCTCTATAGTTTTCAGCTGAAAGAACATTGTTTGTAACAATAATTTCACCTGATTCAAACTCTAATAAGATGATTTATATTTATTGCAGATCTTCTGTTCCCGCTGCTCTTCACACTCAGCCCCGTTGCCTAGATACGGTCAGATGAAGCCAGTGAGAGTTTGCACTCACTGCTACATGTTCCACGTAACTCCTTTCTACAGCGACAGGACTGGTATCTGACCACACCGTACACACACACACACACACACACACACACACAGAGAGACATAAGCACACTACTAGAAGTTTTCCTGAGGTTTGATACTTCAGCAAGAACAGACATGCACATCATCATCCAAAAAAAAAATTTAATTGTAAATATATGAACACTAAATGCAATCACTTCAAAGCGAAAGAAAAAGCCTTGACCAGGGAACAAAGCGAGAAGGACTCAAATGGACGGTTGCGAAGGACTCAAGCACATAAAGGAAGTACCCCATTGCTATGGGAGCCAAAGTATTTATTTAGGGCTTTGCTTTTGAATAATGAGCTTAATTACAAATTTGCTTTAATCAAGCATGGAACAAACAGGCTATTCTGTGAAACAGAAGTGCACCCGAACAACACATACAAGGATTTTGTCTGGCAGTAATTGTGGCTTTATTAGCGACCAGAGTTTCTATGGGCTCAGTTTCTAGAATGAATGTAAACTGTGAGCACATTATAAATATGAGAATAACAAACTGTGACTTATGAAGACAATAATACTAACACTAACTGCACCATCAGTGACACCTTTTGTGGAACAATATAGCACAGATGTTTTCCCCCCCCTTTTTTGTTTTGAAAATAATGCTGCTTTCTGTAAAACAGAAGTGATATTTGGGGATTTAGTTGAATGGCCAAAAAAAAAGAAAAAAGATGTGTATATATGCTTGAAAGTTTCAGATGGATTTAATGCATCTTTTAAAAGAGAAGATTCTCTCATATTCCCCATGCAAATGAATGTGCAACATTTGGATTTTTTTTTTTTTTTTTTTTTTTTTTTTGAAACTGTAAAGTTATTGCCTTTTTACAGCAGTTTAGGAGCCTTGTGCTTTTCCCTCTGGTACAAAAGAACACTTTACACCCCCTACCTCATCCCTGTTGACCCCTCTCACACGGTCCCATCCCGTTACAATATGCCTACGCTACCGAATCAGTCAACCATGACTGTCTTTACACAGATGCAAATGCCTTTCTTTGTCTTTGCACATTTTTTTTATGAACATATGTATATATATATATGTGACCAACCACTACTTTTTGTTTGCAATTGTAGAAAGTTAATCATATTTAAATCTCGTGAAACCTGTCAAGAATATGACGTCTGGGTTATATTTTACTGCAAAATGAAAATCATAAAATGTAACTAATGTCAATTTTAAAATGAAGCGGATAAGTAATATTGACATAAATATTTCTGCATTAATATTAGGATAATTTAGCACCCCCTGCCAATTCCCATTATTGTGAGTTGTAAAATAAATATGAATACATTATTTAAAATTGTGACGCATTCACAATAATTGTGCTGAATTAAATTTATTCTGATTTTAATTTAGAAAAATCTAAACATTTTTAATCAGCCTAAAATATGCTTATTTTTTCTTTATGCAAAATAGTAAAAAAAAAAAATTCCAATTGAAATTGGGGTGAAATATGACCTGGAAATCTGACCTCCTTTTTACATTCAGCAATGAAAGAAATACTTTAGCTTTTGTTATCAAGATGCTGCGTTGGTTTAAGATCTCAATATGATCAGGAAAAAAAAGCTTTAGTTTGCCTCACTGCTTTTGAAACCTCAATCTTTGCCTCAATATTAACTGCAAAACATCTGCTTTTATAACTTTATCTCCCTCCGAGAATATCAAACTGAGGGTTATTTTCTTATAAACAGGCAATATCTGTAATTTCTATGAGTTTACGCAGGAGCCGTGTGAAACTGCACCAGTTGTTGCAGTCGAGCTGATATTGAGCATGTCGATATTGTGCTGCAAAACAGTTTTGACCTAAACATGTTATTGCGTAATATGACAAACACTACCGGCTAACATATTATGCACTTTGTATGGCAAATAGAGGAGCATTTGAAGTCGGCTACAATGACATGTTTGTTTTAATTTTGTGTAATGATCTCAAGTCATTTTATAGTAACGGTTATCTTAAACAATACACCTGATTTCAGATGTTAATTAGACAAGTGTTAAACATGCTCAGTAGATACTTTTCTAACACTAATTAATATGATTGACACTAATATGAATTACATAACTGATCATGTCATATATTTATTTTGCCACATGAATCGGTTCAGAACACATTCCTTTTTGCCAAAGTTGCTATTGTAAGTCCCAAGCAGCCACATACACACAGAAGGTGTCTAGTAAGGTAAAGGTCTGATATGTTTGCCTGCATTTATTGAGTTGAGTATGACCAGTTCTAGCAATATTGTAAGCTACATCACACTTGAGGCAGATTGATTCTGCTGGTTGATGGTTAATACTTTACCTCTTTCTGCCTCATTACCTTTGACCGAGTGTTAAAGCTAATTATTCCCGTATTCAAACCTGTCCTCACATCCCGTTACCGCATTTACTGGATGTTCACAACAATGTCTACAGACATACAGCTTTAAAACGTACTGTAATTCTGCAAAACTAAAATCTTGTGTTCCAAGATATATACATATTCAAAGGTTTATATTGATAAATGGCATTTACGTTTCCCTTCTGATCATTTGGAATGGCAGGGTATATTTTGTCCAGACTTTGCGATTCCTCTTTTTCTTAACAGTAAGGTCATTTGATTATCTCCAGATTTACCACTAGTGGAGTTGGTTGGTATTATAAGATTTAAAAGTACCTCTTGATTGTTTGGCCTTTATATTGCTATGGAAGCTTGTTTCCACCACGGAATAAACCATTTAAAAGATAATTGCGACTTTTTATCTCGCAATTGAGACTTTATAACTCACAATTGCAAATTTGTATTCTTATGTGATTCTTAGCAAAAAAAAGTCAGAGATAAAAATTCAGTGGCTGAAACAAGCTTCCATATATTACTCTCTTATAGTCCGCTGAATAGATTGCTATGGAAGCTTGTTTCCGCCATGGAATAAAACAATTTAAAAGATAATTGCGACTCTCTTTTTTTTTTTCGCAGATTTGGACTGTCTGGCAGTTGCGATGTTATCTCGCAACTCATACTTTATAACTCGCAATTGTGTTTATAAAGTCAGAATTGTGAGATATAAAAAGTCGCAATTACCTTTTTTATTTTTTATTCATTGGCAGAAAGAAGCTTCCCTAGTTGCGTCAGTATTGGCATAGACCGCTTTACCTGACACTGGAATCAATTTGCAGTTGCACACTAAGCCAGAAATAGCTTTAGGATCACTTCTGGGTAAATACGATATAGTCTTGAATACAGATTTCCATCTTTGAGTGGTACGATCAAGTTGACATTTGAGTGGAACAATTGTCATTTTTCTCGTTGCTTCCTGTTTTGATATCATGACTTTTCCTCAGGAATGTCTTGATTGTATATCGGCATGATACTGAAGGATTGATTTTTACAGCTAATGTTTTTTATGATTTGAAATGAGATTGTGAATCAGCCAAAGGTTGAATACTTCCCGTCTGCAGACTCGACTTCCAGCCTGTCATGTGATAAGCTCAGTTTCTGATTTGTGCCCTCTTCTGATTCTCATTCTATGTTTTTTTTTGTTTTGTTTTTTGCTTTGTTGTTTTTTGTATAGAAAATAAGATATGAGTCTTTAAAATTATACAGATGTTTTATTTTACAGAGAACAAAAATAATGAAATTATATATGTACAAAATTACTTTTTTCTGTATAAAGAGAATCACAATGAGAGAATTTGCTCTATTTATTCAAAGCTTGTTCTTATTTTGTAATGGCAGGTTCAGTCTAATAAGATGTAAAGAACTTTTCAAAGTCTACTAAGTATTTATGTCATGCAATGAAAGTAATAAATGAAGTTTTCTTTACATAACCGGAGGTCTCTGATATTTTTCTTGTCTGTGTATCTGTCGTAAAGACATTTATAATGTTACGAAATATTTATATTTCAAATAACTGCTGTTCTTCTGAACTTTCTATTCACTAAAGAATTTTAAAAAAGCAGCACAACTGTTTTCAACATTGATCACATGTTTCTTGAGCACCAAATCAACGTTTTACAATGATTTCTGAAATGTCATAAAGTAATGCTACTTATGGCTGCTGAAAATTTAGCTTTGCGTCAGGAATAAATTATATTTGAACATGTATATTAAAATAGAAAGCGGTTATTTAAAATGGTAGCCTAATATTTCACAGTATTACCATTTTTACTGTATTTGATTAAAAATATTCAGCCTTGATAAGCATAAGAAACTTCTTTCAAAACATTTAAAAAAATCTTTGACTAAACCTTTTCCTTATTTTGAGCCTTATGAATAATACAATGCACACAGTACAGTATGTCTTTGGAGTCATTATGAAGTGCTCTTATGCATTAGTGCTAATCATGCAGTTTTCCCCCTTTCAAGTATGTCTTTTAGGTGCCTCGTAACACCAGCAGTAAATGGAAACATCCCCAGAATCCAAAATCATTTCCTCCATTTGCACAGATGATGTTAACACACACACTGCTGTTGCACACCCACGTCCACGTCTGAGCCGATGCCACAGGGAGATCCTCCATCATTGATCCCTGGAAGGAACCGGAAGATGGAGATGTGAGGATGAAAGCAGCGTCTCCCACATCTATATCAGTGTGTGCTCATTTGATTGCTGTCAGGAGGGGATGTGACTGCTCAGTGTGTGTGTGTGTGGGTGTTTGTCATGAATAATCCACTAATGAAAGAGATGCAGACTTTTTGGGAGAGGAAGGAGAACCAATCGAGCCCTAGCAAGAAACCTAAACCGGTGAGTCTGTATTAAAGTTCCTTATTATAATATACCAACATAGCACCTATAGTCGTGACGGAAAACATTGTTTTGAGCTCACCAGAGTAATCTGCATTTGATAATGCCTCTAAAAATACACGCGCGCCTGCAGCGAGACATTAACCAGACGCGCGCGCGGACACGATGGCGCGAGCACGTTTGCTGCAGTGATGCCATTGAGGAAAACAGTGAAATGGGAGGAAAACAAAGCCTGTATCAACAAACAAAATAGCAAGGCAGATAACAGAAGGGGACTATGATCCGAGATAAAATCGTAACGCAGAGTTTGGTAGGAGCCATTGAAAAGGCGATATGAACAAACGCTTAGGACCAGTTGCTTTAATACTGGACGTGATTTGATTACTGTTGCGACAACGCAGATTACGCAGCGATTGACGGCGAAAAAAGTTTATTTTGAAGACATTTTTAAGTCACTTGTTGGTATTATTGCAATGAACAACAATTAATTTGTTTATTTATTTCCACAGAGTCGTGTGGAAAGTTATTTATTTATTTAACATCAATAAGACCATAAAATTGCCAGTAACATTACATGTTATTAACATGTAATTTTGTTACTGGCAATTGTATGGTCTTATTGCAATTTATTTATTTATTTCAATAACATTTGATGTTGACGGCAATTTTGGTTAGGCTACTTAATTTATTAGTTTGTTCGTGTAAATAAAATTTTAATATCTATCTGCCTTTCTAACAACAAGACATTTTTGGTTTTATTGCACTGTTATTTATTTATTGAAAAAACATTTGATGTTAATACGAATTGTTTGGTCTTTATTTGTATGTTTGTTTGTTTCTGTCAAAGAACTGATTATTCAGTTTATTAAGTTTATTAAGTACTGAACTATTCAGTACTTATATCGAAACTGGTTATTGACATTTTTCGCCTTTCTGGACTGCTATTTATTATTTTTGATGTTGTTAATGGGAGTTTTTGGTCTTATTGCAGTTTTATTTATTTAACATTTGATGTTGTTAATGGTAACTGTTTGGTCTTTGTTCATTTTTTATATCTGTTTGTCTAAAAACATCCAAAATTAGTTATTGACTTTTTGTCTGCATGATATTTATTTATTTATTTATTATATGAACAATTTATGGTCTTATTGCACATCATCCATCTATCCATCCATTCCATATACGTTTGAAATTGGTTGTTGACAATGTTGTCTTTATTGCATCAGCTGTAAATGGATAGGCTAATTTATTTATTTATTGCAAAGTTTGAAATCTATTTGAAATAACACTCAAATAGTAATCAAAAATGTGTGTCCTTCTTTCAATAACGCAATATTATGTTTATTCAGCCAAAGCCTCAGAATGCCATCACTATTGCGGTGTCCTCCCGCGCCCTCTTCAATATGGATCAGGAGCAGGACATTTATGAGCAACAGGGAATGGAGGATTACCTGAACTATCAGATCCAACATGAGAACGAGCCATTCACACCCGGACCTGCTTTCCCCTTCGTTAAGGTCAAAACACACAAGCTATGATATCAGTAATGAGAAAAACTATGACTCCATTTAAAATGATCTCAAATTAAAGAAGAAAATGACTGAATTCTCCCTCTGTCCAACAGTGCCATGGATAGAAGGAATTAGTGAAATGCTTTTTCTGTCCTGTGTAGGCGGTGGAGGCAGTGAATGCTCGACTCAGGGATCTGTATCCAGACAGTGAAGAGCTCTTTGATGTGGTTCTGATGACCAGCAATCATGCTCATGTGGGACTTCGGCTCATAAACTCAATTAATCATCACCGTAGGTCAAAAGATCTTTGACTGACTGCTTTTCACTGGATAAACATCAGGAAGTTGTGTCCCTTTGAAACATGGCAAACTAATATGTTTTAATGCCATGGACCCTCAAATATGAGGACACGAGACTCCATTCCTGATGTATAAAAGCAGCTATTTATTTTCATACATAATGGCCCATTTGTACAGTGAGAAAATATTAACACAGTTTCTTCCAAAATTAAACAATTGGCTTTTATATCGTCAATTATTAAAATATTTGGAAACACTTACAATAAGATTTAATTTATGATCTTTAGATAAGATGAACAATACTTCTACAGCATTTATTAAGTTAACTTCAACATTTACTAATACATTTTTAAAATAAAATGCTATATCTGTTAACATTAATTAACACACTGTGAATTAACATGAACAAACAATACACAATTGTATTTTTATTAACTATCGTTAACAAATGCTGTAAAAACATATTTTAGTTTGTTTTAACTAATGCATTATTAACTAATGTAAACAAATGACACCTTATTGTATATTGTAATAATTTGTATTACTTAATGACAATATAAAAGTTAATTATTAAATGTTTATAATATAATATTTGTATTAAGTTGATAGCGTATATGTACTTTTTAAAATAAAATAATGCAGATTTATTTCTTTAAAGCTATATATATAATAAAATAACTGCAATTAATCTAAAGACTGATTTTATAGAGTCTTTAGAAAGCAGAATGAAACTGTGCTATTACGAAAATGGGTAAATATGTTAAAATTAGTACATTAAATCCACCCAAAAATGAAAATTCTGTCATCATTTTCTCTCCTGTATGATTTGTGGAACATAAAATAAGATATTTTGAAGAATGTTTTGGTAACCAAACATTTTCGATTCCCATTTAGTTCCATTATGTGGGGGAAAAATACAATGGAGGTCTGTGGCGACCGAAATTCTGTTGTTCCCTACATTCTTCAAAAAAAAGTCATGCAGGTTTGGAATGACATGGGGGTGAATAATTATAACCATGACATAATTTTCAATTTTGGATGAACCATCCAAAAACCATCCAAGTGCACATATTACATTTGACATCCTTTAAAGAGCTTTTTAGTGCAACTACAGTTACAGTATGCTTCCCTACAGATGCTGAATTCATGCCTTACTGAGCGCATTGCAGTGAAAAAAATATTGTGTTGAGGTTTCTTTTTAAGTGCACTTAAGTTTGGAGGTAGTCCTCTCTATAATTATGTAAACGTGTAAATAATGTCTTGTGTTGTCTGTTATTTCCAGAGCTGTTTATAGAGCGCTTTTGCATGACTGGAGGCAACAGCCCTATTGGCTATCTGAAAGCGTACCACACCAACCTTTATCTGTCAGCGGATTCACTGAAAGTTAGAGAAGCCATTGAAGAGGGTGAGTGGAGTGTTCGGCGATTAACGGTAGAATCATAAGTATACTAATATTGTTTTAATGTGAATTTTTTTTTTGTTAGGAATTGCAGCAGCTACAGTATTCTCACAAGGAAAAACCACAGAGGTGTCGGAGACTCAGCTGCGCGTGGCCTTTGATGGAGATGCCGTTCTCTTCTCGGATGAGTCGGAGAGAATTTACAAAGCCCACGGACTGGACAAGTTTTTTGAACACGAGAAAGCCCATGAAAATAAACCTCTTGATCATGTATGTTCAATTTAAATGTAATAGCAGTGCAATATAACATGGCGTGAATTCTTAAATTGCAGGAAACGTCATTCACATATTGGATCATCAAATGGAGTTCTCAACATTTCAAGTATTTTTCACAAGAAAGCAAGGATTATTATACTTGTGTGACTAGGGTTGTCCAACACACAATCGGTTCCAGTCGGTACTAAAAAAAGCTGACGTTACTAGCATTTCCGCAGTACCAGGTACGTCTGCTGATAGGCTGCTTTAGAAAACGTTCAAACAAAAATGAACGACAGCATTCGGAGTGCCAGAGGTTTCTATTTAGCATGTTTTACAAGCGCTAAGCATTGTAGCCAATCACAATCCTATCTGTTGAGCGCGTGAACTCAATGGCCTGTCAGAGGTGCTAGGCAGTAAGTTAGCCTGAATCCGCTTAACGCTGCTGAAAACGCACAAGGTTTTGTTTTGTTTAACGTGAGCTGCACGGTTGCGTATCCTTTAATTATAACCAACAAAGTGTAAACGTGATGTAAATAAGAGATTCACTGTACAATACAGAATTTTATTATAACGTGAATTTTTGCGCAACTGCAGAATTCAGCGAGCTTTGCTTGCGCTTTAGAGATTGACAGTCTTGTGGTACATTTACAGAACAATGATGTACTAAAAACGGAAAAGTTTTTCCTTTTGCGTTTTTCGCATACAGACGACAATGTTATCAAAACGATTCCCCGTTCACACGGCTCTGCGAAAACTATTAAAAATGCAGTATTCTGCTGCCAGGCCAGTAGTTGGCGATGTCACTTTGTAAAGAAACACTGAACATGTAAAACCTATGCGCATGATGTCACCACTTTCACAAATTTGTGTTTTAGTAGTTTACACGGAGACGAAAACGGTATTGTTTTAAAAAATGTGCACTTTAACCGGTTTTCAAAGTTCAGTTTTTAGTTGAAAATGGCGTTGTGTAAACTGCCCCTAATTGCTTATAAAGGGAGGGCTCTTCTCTTGCTTTCTGTTTATGACCCATTCACAGTCTGAATATGTTCAGTTTTTCATAGTAGCTCCTGGAGTTTCTGGATTGACAATTTAAATGCGCGATTGGATCGGAAACTGCGATGATTGACACTGTTAACCAACAGACGGGTACCATTCAACAGTTTATGCTCTGGCACCAAGAACCGTGTAATTTTACTGGTATTGGTACCGACTACTGATATTTTGGTACCGTGACGTGACGACCCTACTTGTGACAGAAATTATCTTTTTTTTTTCCTAGGGACCACTTAAAGGGTTCCTGGAAGCTCTGGGGAGACTGCAACAGAAATTCTATGCCAAAGGCCAGCGCTTGGATTGTCCCATCCGCACCTATTTGGTCACAGCTCGCAGTGCAGCCAGTTCAGGCACCCGGGCCCTCAAGACGCTGCGTTCATGGGGCCTGGAGACAGACGAGGCTCTCTTCCTAGCAGGAGCCCCTAAAGGCCCCATGCTGGAAAAGATCAGACCTCACATCTTCTTCGATGATCAAATGTTCCACGTGGAGGGAGCGGCAGAACTGGGAACTGTGGCAGCTCATGTTCCCTATGGAATTGCCCAGAGGTTTCCATCAAAGACAGGGAAGGAAGTAAAAAAAGACTTCTCAGCCAAGCAGCTAGTGTGAATACTGGTCTATCAAGTGCTTCATTTAAGCAAAGCCTTTAATATTTTTACATTTTTCTTTGTAATTGGTCAAATTGCTAAGAGTTGTGCTTTTCCATCTTCCAAAAATGGACCAGTTTGTCCATGACAGACCATCTGCATAGTTCTGAGGTTGTTCACTTGCATGTAGCAAGCCATACATAAACAGAGAAAGAAACGGTTATTGGATATAAGTGGTATTTTACCGTTTTCTGTTCTTAATATGTAAAAGTGCTATTCAATTTATTATGCCACAGTGTAACTTATCTGAAGCTAAAATGCACTAAATGCTGTGTTGGATATTATAAATATCACCTTTAACACTTCTATCCATACATATTTTCGGCTGTTATATTGCAATCGCCATGTTTTGAATGACCAAAGGGCTGTTACTCTGTATTTAGCCTCTATCCGTTATGCAGTGTTTTGATTCTTCAGTGTTATCATGTACAAATTTGGCTTAGTTTTTGCTGTTTATTGTTATCTCTACACAGTGTGGTGATAACATGTGTTAGCCTACTCAGGGCATGCTCAAGTCAATGTTTGCACTGAATCCCATAATAAACAGTGAAGAGGAAATTTATATGTTGAAAAAAAAAGACGATGTTTATTTCTCTCCGTTCAGAATATTTAACCCCTTAACTGCCACGGGCTTGTTAGCGGGATGCTTGGCTCTCTTTTATTTATTGCCTTTATCACATATTTTAGTTATCATAAATTAGGTAGGCTATAGCTATCATTCGAAAGCTTAACTCAAAATTCCTCTGGTGAAAACAGTTTTGAAATCGGACATTGCATTACCATGTAAACGGTACTTTAAAACCTTAGCGGGCTCCTCCCCCTATAGTGCGCAGCGTCATAGGCCCTACAACATTTATTTGAACTATTTTACAATCCAAAATGTTTCTAATCTTGACAAAACGCATATAGTTGGAAAGGTCTGAGACTCAATGTTGTATATTTGGCGACTGTTTGTGATAGAAGAGATATTGTGACAGAAATTAATTCATCAGTGGAGAACACGTCCAAAAAAAAAAAAAAAAATCTATGTAAAGTGTGTGACGCTCGGTGGCTATTTTTGGTAGCCTATAGCGCAGAAACTAAATTTCATATGAACTTCCATTTTTGCGATATCAACTTCAAATTTGGAACACAACGGCAGATAATAAACAAGAATGCAGCCCTTTACCCTGCTGGGGAAAAAAATGCTAAAAGCCAGCCAAGGGTTTAGCTGGTCCTTTGGTCACCCAGCTTTGATAATGTTCTACACTTGTGTAAAGCAAAAAGTGTCGAAAATATAGACATTTCCGTATTTCTTTCCTCCTTCAAATTTGAGGGCAATAGGCAATACAAATATCACTTTCCATATTTGTAAAAATGTTTACAGTATATATATATATATATATATATATATATATATATATATATATATATATATATATATATATATATAATATAATATAATATATATATATATACGATTCAAAATCTCTCAGTATTTTGCCGTACTGTTACCATGGTAACTTTAAGGTCCTGTTTTAAGGGCGGGACTTCAAAACAATCTGAGAAACTCTGTTGGACTTTTAACCGATGCTTTTAACTCGCGTCCTGCTGGTTAATGTTTCACCTACTTTAAATATTACGACTAACTTCTGGGTCGTGCTAAGTTTAGTTCATGTATATAGGAGGTTTGTATATATAAAATAGTAAGGTAATAACAAGTACGCAGTCTGTGTTTAGGAATGTGATCACATGATTAGTGTCATATGACTTTGATGAGAGAGGGAATGAGAGCGAGAGAAGAAATCTGAATTAGTTCCCAATATTACACTCTTTTGCTAATGCTGTCGTCTACCGTGATGAATGCAGATGGATAAACAGATGTGGGGACTCTTGAAGTAAATCGCTGGATCATGGAGCGTTTGGGGGTTTTGCCTGTTCTCGTCACCGCTTGTGTTTTGGGTGAGTTTCCAAATCAACAGAACATCTGAGACTTTTAAAATGCTGTCATAACGCATTTTATTATTTAGATAATATTTTAAAACATACAATAGGATATTTAAATTGTTTCTCTTGTTGAACGCCAGCACATTTCGCTTTGTGAATGTTTGATTATTGTTTATTGATTATTATTGAATGTCAGATATTCTCTCTGTATCTAGTTACTAGTTGACAACATGTCCCCACCCAATATTCTATCTATCTATCTATCTATCTATCTATCTATCTATCTATCTATCTATCTATCTATCTATCTATCTATCTATCTATCTATCTATCTATCTATCTATCTATCTATCTATCTATCTATCTATTTTATTAACCTAATGTTTAATATTTATATCAGGAAAAATAGATATACGTGTGTAAAGGGGAATCATGTTTGGGTCTTGACCTTTTAAAAATAATTTTACACCATTTTTACATATTGCAACAAATTAACCAGAGGTTTCACCATTTTTAACTTTTGTAAATAAATTTACCAGAGGTGGTGGAGTATCAGTTTTTCAATAGAGACAACTTTAGTTTGAGGGGTTTTACTAACAACATTCTTTGTGAAATCTAACAAGCCTTAAAGGAACACTCCGACTTTTTGGGACTTTAGTCTATTCACCTTATCCCCCAGAGTTAGAAAAGTCCATACATACCTTTTTCATCTCCGTGCGTGCTATAAGTCTGTTTGACGCACCCACCGCTAGCCTAGCTTAGCACAAAGACTGGATGTAAATGGTTGCAGCTAGCATACTAATCCAAATAAGTGACAAAATAACGCAAACATTTTTCTATTTACATGTTGTGATTTGTATAGTCACAGAGTGTACAAAAAACAAAGTCACATGAGACACAGACATATTTTAACCGTATAAATACTGGGAACTATATTCTCTGAAGGCGACTATATTCTCTGAAGGCGAAGCACTGCTGCTTGGGCGGAGTGATAACCGCAGCACCTGAGACCGCGCCGTGGTGAGGAGCAGAGAGCGCGTCTCAGGTGCTGCGGTTATCACTCCGCCCAAGTAGCAGTGCTTCGCCTTCAAAGAATATAGTTCCCAGTATTTATACGGTTAAAATATGTCTGTGTCTCATGTGACTTCGTTTTTTGTACACTCCGTGACTATACAAATCACAACATGTAAATAGGAAAATGTTTGCGCTATTTTGTCACTTATTTGGATTAGTATGCTAGCTGCAACCATTTACATCCAGTCTTTGTGCTAAGCTAGGCTAGCGGTGGGTGCGTCAGATGGAGTACAGCACGCACGGAGATGAAAAAGGTATGTATGAACTTATCTAACACTGGGGGATAAGGTGAATAGGCTAAAGTTTCAAAAAGTCGGAGTGTTCCTTTAACCTAACAATATGTCCAAATGTTTTGGCCAAAATCTATAACTCTGCTGTATAGTAAACAAAGACTGTACTTGGTTTATTGGCATTATGGCATGCAGTGACGTCAGGTTTCTGTAGTGTGACATTTTTATGTTTTTATGACCCCTGATTCATTCATTTGTGATGTCTATGTGATTTGTCAACCTCTTCATTTGTGTATTTTAAAGAATGTGTTAAAATAAGAATGTGTTCAAATGAGCTGAAAACTATCATAACATGTCAGTAAGAGTCAAGTAAAACATGTTTTTCAGAGTCGTAAAGGCTTGGAAAAGAACAAACAGAGAATTGGTTCCTGGGTCCCTCACTTAGTATTTCTGGAGTGAAATCAAGTCATATGACCGGCGTCACCTCAGAATAATTGTGTTTCTTCAGTGGGAGCTTGTGTCGCTGAGGGTGACCGGCCTCATGGCTAATATGATTACGCTCACAATAAGGACTCTGTTTGCCTTTTTGCTGATGGTTAACTAGCATGTTGTCGTGTCATTTACAGTATGTACCAACAGACAATAAAAAAAACACACACACACACAGTCGAAGGAATGTGAGCGTGATTCATGTTATGCCGTTACAATAAACCTTTAAACCAACCTTGTCAAAAGGTTGAGCAGTATTGAGCCGAAATAAGCCAGAAATAATGTATTATAACTTTTATTGTGCTTTATAAGATATAGTATACTTAAAGGGTTAGTTCATCCAAAAATTATGTCATTAATTACTCACCCTCATGTCGTTCCAAACCCGTAAGACTTCTTTCATCTTCGGAACACAAATGGAGATATTATTGATGAAATCTGAGAGATTTCTGTCCCTCCATTGACAGTGTCCGTCAATACCACTTTCAAGCCCCAGAAAGTAGAGTTGCACGATTGCAATTTTCTTGGCCGATTCTGATTATTTTGTAATTGTGACCAGCCAATTCAGTTTTTTGCAGATTCCGATTTTCTTTCAAAGAACTATAATTGACAGCATATACAAACAGAATTCTACTTTTCTTCAATGCCAAATGCTTTTTACCAAGTAAAAAGTCAGTAATAAAATAAGAACAAATAAACAAATTGCAAACAACAGCACAAATAAATGCAATAGAATAAAGAGAGGTATGAAATAAACACGGCTTTAAGTTTTTCAGGTGGGTATACAGTATATTGCAGGTAAGAAATATTACAGAAATTAAATAAAGTAAGCAAATGTAAAAAATGACACTGGATAGTTTTCATTGTAAAAATTAAATGCAGATTAATGCTTACAATTACGGTTACAAAAATTATTCAGTCAAGACCAGAGAGTGATTTCTATTTGTTTGTTTTTTTCTTTGATTAAAGGTGCTCTATGTAACTTTTAGCGGCCTCTAGTGGTGATGTTTCAGATTGCAACCAAATTTTACAAGAGCGCTCGTGCTCGAACTCATAGACAATACCGTCTATTACGCAAATATCTCGGCGAATACTAGACGGATTCGGCGAGCACCGAGCTCGTTGGGACCATCTAGTCGAGCTGAAAAGAACCATATAAGTTCCATAGTTTTTGGTGGTGTTTTCGCGGAGATATTAGCAGAAAACCATCGGGCGCGCTGCAAAATTGCGGACGCCGGTGACGTCACGATCTCAGAAGAAAATCGCTCGTATCTCTGGAACGCAAAGACCCAGAGAGCTCAAATTCGGGGGAGGAGGTCCCAGGGGAACCCTTGCCCGAACACTAGAGTGGCGGGCCTCGGGGATGCCCCCTACCTGATCGCCGTTCGCTGGGACCCCCGATTTCGAACGGCTATAACTCGGGGAGCCGGGCGAGTTGGACCTCGGGGGTGGGCTCGTTCGAAAGGCCCCGTCCAGCACTACGAACGATTAGAGTCTTGGGAATATTGATCAAAGATTGACTGAGATATAAGCCGAAAAACGTGCGCCTTTAACCGGACGTAACTCCCTGACCGTCTACAATAGACTGTATATAAGGAGAGAGGATCGGGAGCGCGCATGCACGTCACATCCGTTGGATTTCGCGGTAAATCCGACCCGGAGACTTCACATAGAAATAGGAATACTGGCCTTCAGAGGTAATAGCAAAACTCAACAAGTGGATCATTTTAATGTGTGATTACAACCCCTTCACACACAGGCAATAAAAAAAAGGATTCATTTTAGTAAAAAAGTTACATAGAGCACCTTTAACATGAGAGACTGCAAAGTTTTTGATTAACATGTCAGACAGAGGTATGGAAATACATACGTTAAAAGGTGTTGAAGATTTTATTATTTAGAAAACAAGTAATTTAGCCTTATAAGAATACACAATTATTTATTGTATGAGTCCTCTAGAAGGACTCTATGTGTCTTTGAAAGCTGCAAGACCTTCTGTAAAAAGACCGTGAATGTCAATTCTATTCTGAGAAGTCACATGGTACAAAACCTTCACCCAAACCTATCTATAAGTGTATGACCATCTTTGGAAAAGGATGTATGTATATATGTGAGAAGCTGGGCACGGATGAGGAGTGATCGCCTGCAGGAGGAAGGGATCTCCTGCTGGAGGGAGTGATCCCCTGCAGGAGATGCTCGGCTTTGTTTGTTAATAAAGTCTAATATTTCTGGCATCAAAGATCTATGCGAAGTTATTTTACAGAACAATTGAAACCACTTCATAGGCAGGTGGGACATCGTATAATTTTATGATCCTACTCCTTCCACAGATGATGTATATACAAATGAACACATTTATACCACTTAACTTAGTGATTGCTATCAGGATGAGAAGAAACTGAAACTGTTTCTGGAACAAATCGCTTACCCTGCCTTTAAAATAATTGAATTGTGCTTTTAAGACCATTCTGTCATATGATTTATTTGAAGGCAGTTTTTGGTCTGTCGTTGTGTAGGAGTGGTGATGAGTCAGACAACACTCAGTCCTGCTGTGACGATCACCACAGTCAGTGCAAACGTGACCACTGCGTCTCCCAGCTGCTCCTCGCTCAACACCTCCTCCTGCACGGCCTGCGCCCCTGGCTCTTATTACGATAACGGTGGGCTCATGTGCATTCAATGCTGATTTAAAGTGTTCCACACATGTTGAAGCTGACACTTTCTCTGTCTGTGTCCTCAGAAACTCTGCTGTGTTCTTGCTGTCCTGATGTGGGCCTGTGTGTGTTACCCGGAGCCTGTCTTCTCTGTGTGCAGGGCTTCTATCAGCCTCTCGCAGGACAGCAGGGTTGTCTGCCTTGCTCATCTGGGTTTTACAGCAAGTGAGAGGAGAAAGTATTACGTCGCTTATGTTTATTCAAAGCATAAGCATTCTTTCCATGCCAAGGCTCTAATCATTTTTTTTCTCTCCATTAGTTCCACAGGAAGCCCCGTCTGCCAGGCATGTCCTACTGGTTCCTACAGCAATAACACCGGCTCCGTCTCCTGCAGGGCCTGCGCACCAGGTAACAAGTGATGTGTTCATTTATTATTTGCTTTTCTATATAAATCAATTATCATATAGAGGGGTGGAGAAAAAAACAGATACTACATACAACTACTACAGATACTACATATCGAAATATAAAGGGAAAACATGTTATCTATAATATATTTTATGTTTTGTTTTTGTTATTATATAAAATATATATTTATTATTTAATACAAATTCTAAATTCGAATGTCTTAAATAAGATATGGGCAGATAATATATTTTTCTGCTTATAATACATGTATGAGACATTAAATGTAATCTGAAATTTCACACATTTATTAAGCATTTAATAAAAATGGAAAGAGCTAAAGTTTTTTCTTTCTTTATTGGTTAAGGTTTCTACACATCTTTGCAAAATTCAACATTGTGTAACCCATGTCCACAAGGCACGTACTGCAAGTAAGTTCCCTTTTTGAACATTGCACCATAAAATGTATGTCTCAAGCTTTAAGTAATATATATATAAACTGCCCATCCCCCCAAAAAAGCACTGTTTGGATTTAAATAGGCAAACACTTATGAGTCTATGGTTGGATCATTATTGCAGTGATTATTATGTTTCTAGCATGTTATATGTTTGGTAACAGTTCTTCTAACCCTAATTGATGGAGTGTGTAGCTTTTCATTTCTTAAACAGCCATGTAGGAAGACACATCATTTTCCATTGATGCAAAATGGCCATTTTCCAGGATGACAATGGAAAGATTCATCAGACTCAGATTGTGAAAGAATGGTTGTGAAGAATCATGAAGAATCATTTTCACACATGAATCGGCTCCTCTGAGTCAATTCATTGAAAGTCTTTGGGATGTGCTGGAGGAAACTTTACAGAGCGCTGGACTCTTGCATTATCAATACAAGATCTTGACCAAAAATGGATGCACCTTTTGATGGAAATAAATGTTGTGCCATGAGATGGTTATAGTTTGTTGTTCATTGTTACAGTTCTCCCCTTCTCCCGTTCTGATAGTTCCTCCAGTTGTACCCAATGCCGGATCTGTCCTGCAGGCTCAGAGGCTCTACAGATCGCTGCCAAAGACTGTACGCCCTGTCGTCCAGGTATCTTCTTTTAGCCTTGTTGTTTACTAAAATTATATGAAAGCTTTAGTGATATTACATTTTGGAGATGGGTCATCCGCATGACAAAAGCTACCCGGAAAACATGATGAAATCAGTTTTGGCGTAGATCAGTACATGAATAAAGGTCTTTGTTGAACAAGTAAATCAGTATTTCCCCAGTACACTTATGAAACTCGAATGATGTCAATATTTTATGACAGGAATGCACAAGGCTTCCCATCAAATCATGTGTCAGATTTGCAGCAGTGGTTTCTATCAGGTCCGCCGGGGCCAGGAGAACTGTGACCTGTGTCCTGAAAACCATTACTGCCCTGTGAGTGATTACTTCCTCAAACACACACACACACACACACACATACACACACAATCTTTACTGTTACCAATGGACTTGTTCCTCTTGCTTGAACACAAAGTTTTTACTGTAGAGACTGTAGTTTTGACTTCCTTGTTTATCTAAGAAAATGACCAACATAAAATATGTGTCATTATTATATGTTATGTAATACATGTGCCTCTGTCTATATGCTCCAGAGTCCCGATGTAAATCCGATCGAATGTCCCACTGATGCGTTCTGTCCCGAGGGCAGCACGGCCCCTGGTTACTGCATGGAGACCTTCTTCAGAAAGGTTGGGGAGACGTGTGAACTTGCTCCTGTTACCATTGCACTGCTTGTTATTGGAGGAGGAGGTATGAACGGATCTCAATTGAACTTTTGTTCCCCAACCAAAATATGCAAAATGTCTATTTCAGTTTTTCTGCTAAGTTCCACCTCCTTGTTTCACATTTACAAAATTTCCATAGAGTTAAAAAAGTCTATTGTCAATAGTGTAGTGATTTTTGAAGCACAGTTCACACAGAAGTCACTTTCAAACCAAGCAGTTTTCTGTTGGTCAATGAAGAAAATCCATTAAAAACTTGAAATCTGCCTAGGGAAATGTCTCACTCACATGCAAAATTCCCTACTGTGTGGATTCCCGTTGAAATGTCTGGGTTTTGCCCATGAAAATTCACCGAACAACCGTAAATGTGACCGCATCTTTACTAGGTCATACAAATTAAAGCTACTTACATTATTATTATATTTCTTAATCGGTCAGGAATAGGATTGGTCCGTAAGATTTTTATGACGATGCTTAGTAGAGCTGCACGATTCATTCCTAAATGACAATGATTCGCATGTCTATGAAAGTATGATCACAGTGAACATTCAAATCTGCGTTGGCGCTGCCGCTGAGACCGAGAGCAGTTGTCATGTATAGATATGAAACGGCTTCACAAACAGTCTTTTGAACATCACAGTATGGTTACAAATATTCAAATGATCACAGAAGTACTGGAATAAAAGGTTATAGTTTGGATAAACACTGATTCCCGCGATGGTAGCATTCAAAACAGACTAAATCACCTTTTGAAAGTAACTTGACTCTTCAAATAGAGACTGTCAATTACATCATTACATCAGTAGGTGGCGAAAAGTGACTGTTAAAACATGTATTAGTCATTGAATCATTCATTCAAGAGATTCGTTCAAAAACGCTGATTAATCCAGTAAAGAAACAAGTGAACTATTTATGCATAAATCATTGAATCATTCAATCTTTAAAGTTCTCAAAGGTAAAAGATACATTTAAGTGGGATTCAACATTTCTAAAGAACAATATTCACTCCCTCAGCACCCCCATTACACACCTAGTTAATTTATCGATAAAGCAATATATTTTTCCAACTCCTTGGAAAAATGCAGTGTTAGTTCCAATTTTCAAGGCAGGGGAACCTACTGATGTAGTTAACTATAGACCCATCAGCATTTTGCCGGTGACATCAAAGATTGCAGAAAAAGTGGTAACTGAGCAGTTACCCGACTTTCTAAATTCTGGACAAACACTTCATCCAATGCAATTTGGTTTTAGAAAAAATTACTCGACCGAAATGGCTACCTGCTATTTTGTTGAAAAAATCAAATCAAAACTAGACAGTGCTTTGCTGGAGGAGCAGTTTTTCTGGATTTAAAAAAAGCTTTCAACACAGTAAATCATAATGTTCTTCTCTCTAAGTTGTCAAATTTAAATTTTTCTGATGCTGCTATGAACTGGATGGAGTCCTATCTTACCATGAGAAGACAAAGTACCAGAGTTGGGAATAAAATGTCATCATTCAGTAACTGTTCTGTTGGCGTCCCTCAAGGCTCAGTCTTAGGCCCTTTGTTATTCAGTCTATATGTTAACGACTTACCGCTAGCATGTCCTCGAGTTGACACCCAAATGTATGCAGATGACACGTCATTCTGGCACATGGAAGAGACAGATACGAAGTGGCAACCAAATTAACAGCAGCAATGATAAAAATTGCCACATGGCTCTCTGAGTCTTGCATGACACTAAACGTCAGTAAAACTGTGTGTATGTATTTTTATATAAGGAAAAATGAAAATCAGCCAGATGTCGTTGTAAATGGGGAAAAAATCCAGATTGTGTCACACTTTAAATATCTGGGAGTTATTCTTGATTCAAAGTTGTCTTTTAAGAAACATATAAAGCAGGTTTGTAATACTGTTAAGTTTAATTTAAGAAATTTTAGACACATTCGTAATCAGTTACCTTTAGATGCTGCCAAATTGTATATGCATTCAATGATTGTCTCACATTTTACATACTGCAAAAACAATACTTGCTCCACTACAAACGCTATATAAACAAACTCTCAAAGTATTAGATAAAAAGCCATCAGGTTATCACTACTGCAATATCATTCAAAAGCATAAACTCTTGACTTTTGAAAATTTGATGTGCTTTGCCAATGTTTGTTTAGTGTACAGAGTAATTAATAATCTGGCTGCGCCCCCATTAGAGGGGTTCATAATATTGCTCTCAGATAGTCGGAGAACAACCAGGGCGACCAGTAGAGGTCACTGTGCCGTACAGCGCAGACGTACTGAGTTTGGCAGATCAGCCTTCTCTAGCAGAGCCTCTAAATACTGGAACTTAGTCCTAAATGAGATTAGAGACATCAGTACATTTACTTGTTTTAAATATAAAGTAAAATTATGGCTAAAATCTATACAATCATGTACCCATTAATCATAAACTCAAAAAACTCATTTTTTTGTCGTATCCTAATATTGTATTGTTGTGTTTATTAATATTGCACTTTTATTTTGTTCTGTTGTTTTGTTTTATTGTGTTTTTTTAAGAATGTGAAACGTTGTTGTCTGAGAGGCAACTTGCGTGATGATGACGTTTTATGGTATATTTTTATGTGTTTGTTGGATTGTTAATTGTATGTCACCTCTTTCCTGCCCAGGGACTACAGATGAAATTTAGCTTGTAGCTAATTTTGGTATGGCTGAGTGTCATACACTGTCCCTGTTAAATACATAAATAAATAAATTCAAACAGTTTTTTAACAATTCATGCAGATTAATTAAACAATTTAAATAGACTGCAGCAATTAACATTTTGTCAGAACCTCTAGTAAACTACATGTTATTTTGTTTAGTTGTCTGATCAGAATCATGGGATAATCATGATCTCTATTTGAAGCAAAAAAATCGTGATTCTCAATTTATCCAGAATCGTGCAGCTCTAGTGCTTAACAGAAGGTCAGTTGTCCCCCTCTTCTAATTCTTCTTCTCCTCTACAGTGGGTCTTCTCTTTATCATCGTTTTGGTTCTGCGGAGGAGAAGAGATAATGACAGTGAGCTGTCCCTCGCCCGTACGCCCCTCTTGCGAAAAGACAGACAACCTGGTCGCTTCTGCGGGATCCCTTGTGATGCGGAGCCTGTTTATGCAGGCTGGTGACATCAGCTCGTACATTTACAGCTGCGCATATTTTGTCTGAATATTTCTATTAGAACTTTTATTGAACTGTTCTAAGCTTAAAAATGGTAAGATACTATTAAATATTTATGAATGGAGACGCACTTTTCTGAATTCCATTTTTAAACCCGTTTACTACTGACTATGTTATGAAGGTACATCTTTAAAGATTTGATTCTGACTGCTTTTCGAGTCTGAAGAGTAAACCATGCAGTATTTTTTGGGGGGTGTTTTCTTTTGTTTAATTTTGCACCAGATATTAAGTTAAGCCATGGCACTGAAAGAATTTTGGACTATGTTGTTGGATTAAGCTTATTTTGTTCACATGTGTTTTTTTTGTTTTGTTGGTACCACTACATTTGACTACCTGGGGTCCTCGAGGTACATTTATATTTCATGTATTTGACATGTGATGTTAGATATTACTTTTTAAAAACAAAATTTCGGCAATTTCCAATGTTGTATTCTGGAATAAACAGCTTTGCACAACTTTATATAAAAGTGTAGTGTCTCTATGCAAGTTTGATGGTTGATTTTTGAAACTTCCCTTCAGAAATCCCCAACCGGTACTTTCATTATCTGACCAGTCATATGACAAAAATAAAGAAAGATTATCAAATCCTCTTCAGAAAGATAGATTTTTTGTTCTTTTGGAATGCTTTATTTCCAACAAATAGCATACAAGGGTAACTTTTATATTACATCAGAAGAACACATCACATGCTTAGCAATACAATAGAAATAACAGAAAAAGGACAAAAAAAGAACAGAGAGGGTACATATCTATCTATATATTTTTGAACATATGAAAATGTTAAATGAAGAGCATATTGCAGTTGTTTTAATTGCTTTGTTATTTTTAGATTTTAAATATCAGTGTCATCATTACTATTAATTATTTGTTCAAACAAAGCCAGCATCCTTTGCTTCATAGTTTTCTATATCTATATCTAGTGTTTAGGGTAATTAAAAGAGGTGACAAACTTTATTTATTTTTTGTTATTTGCTTTCTTGGAATCAATTTGAGTTGGTTTTGGTTGGACATTTCTACTCCGTGTATTCTCGCAGCGCGTTCTTTTTGTCCAAACCGTCCACTGTAGTTGATGCGTCAGTGGCGTTCAAGATGGCGGCCACCTTGACGAGAGGTCTGTCAGGTATTAAATGTGCAAAGTTTTTGGAATATCACAAATACATGGCTAAAATGAAACGAGTTTCTATGGACTCTTAGACTTGGTGTGCATTGGAATACGGGTGTAACGGTTTCTATCTCTGCTACATTGTGTGGAGAGACCGTTTGTACACGACTGAATTTGTAAAGTTTATTTCATATTATTCAACGTGAATGCTATATTTTGTTACATTATCGTTATATTGCTGTGGTAGCATGTGAAGAATGTCATGGTGATTTAAAATCTTTCATTAGACAACACTAAATCCCCACCCTTACGAAAACTAACCATGTTTTTATTGTAGTAAAAGTAGTAACCTTGTTTTTTGGCGGATTGGTTACAACAACAGTTTTACTACAAACGCCATGGCTAAACTATGGTTAGTGTAGCAAAACCGTGGTTAATTTTTAGTTCCCATGGTATAACTATAGTAACCACGTTTTTGTAGTACATTTTTGTAGTAAAACGATTTTTTTTTTTTGTGGTTACCATGGTTTAACTATGTTTCTGTAGTAGTAATTTTCATAAGGGGTGTTTTTGCTAGTATTGATGTGGCTGTAATCTCTTAACTACAGTTGTTTCTCCTCTGATGATCAGGTTTGCTGAGACCCTTGTCAGTTTTAGGCAGAGACCGTCTCACCCCTGCTGTCAGACTCACTCAGACAGCTCGCTTCTCAGCTGTAGTGCAGAGACATGTCTGTCGACCACTGCTTCCGGCTCACACTGCTCCCGCACAACACACTGGCCTGCTGAGTCGGTAAGACATTGCCTGTTTAACCACACATTTGTCAGTCTGTCTGTTGGCTGTCAATGTTTTTATCATTCATCAGCTGGAAAAAAAAATGAAAAGTGATTTCAACAATATCGTTCCCTTGTGTCGTCATCGTTATAGCTGTGTCCTTCCCTATTCTCATAGAATAAGAATGACTATTAAAACTGTATTGTTAAAGTTATCATCCTTTGTCGTGAATAGGCCTTTAGAATGATTTTCCCCCAGAGGCCTGTTGCATGAAGCTAGTTGAACAAACTCTGAGTTTCAGGGTAAGTTTACAGTTGACAAAACCATACAAATCCAACCTGGTTTAGATCAGGTTCAGCGCGCTCACAACGCTCAGTATAAACGTTCCTTGTCAACTCAGAGTTTGATCTGTGTTTAAAGGGATACTCCACCCAAAAGTGTAAATTCTGTCATTACTTACTCACCCTCATGTCGTTCCAAACCCGTAAGACTATCATTCATCTTCAGAACACAAAAGAAGATATTTTTGATGAAATTTGAGAGTTTTCTGTCCCTCCATTGACAGCTACGCAACTACCACTTTCAAGCCCCAGAAAGGTAGTAAAGACATCATTAAAGTAATCCATGTGACTCCAGTGGTTTAACCTCGCGTGTCCACAAAAAACACAATTTACCACTTTATTTACAAAATATTAATCTCCGACGTGGACAAGTGACTGTCCATATTGAATCATTCACTGAACCGATTTGTTCTACAACTCTGATTCAATTAAACAACAAAACAAACTTTTTCTGTGGTTCTTTTGGAATACACAACATTTGATTCTGCTTTTAATTCATTAGGAACCATTTTTTTTGAAGCAAAAAACAAAACGAATTGGCAATATCGTTTCAAATGTAAGTTAAAGTCAACATGAAATCAAAATGGACAATTCATATTTTTTTTGTATGGAATATTGCAGTCTTGATGTTGCAGACTGGTATTTGTTATATTTTTGTCAATCATAAACACACTGATTTATATAGCTCAAACAGTTTCATCATTTGTTTTGAAACTATTCACCATTTATACTTCCAGTTATGTACCAATAGCATCAAATGATTCAGAGGTCTCACATATGACATTGGCTTACTTGTGTTAAAAAACAAGGTGGATCAAAGCAATTTCACACAAGCTTCAGAGATTGAGGTAAAGCTATTTTCCCCAAGGTTTGACTATATGTTCCAAAGCTTTATCTGCCTGTCTAGTTGCATGTTTTGACGGAAGATTTGCTCTTTTTGTAATGATGAGGTTCTGTTTTCTGCAGCGTAACTCCCCTCATCCCTTCATTGATGCTCCAGCCAGTCAGGAACTTAACTTACTACAGTCTGAGGAAAGGCAAGAGGAAGTCTGTGAAGTCGGTGGTTCAAAGGTTTCTCAGGCTCCACTGTGGCCTGTGGGTGAGGAGAAAGGTAAAGCATGCTCACATATTGTTCACAGCTCTCCTGTCATGCAATTCTTTGGCGTCATGTTGGAAATCCGGCCTGTTATTTAAATAACCTAAACTGAAACTTGTTCTTTGTGTGTTAAATCATGCTGTTGTGTTTTTAGGCGGGATATAAGAAAAAGCTGTGGAAAAAGTCAGCAGCCCGGAAGAAGCGGCTGAGAGAACATGTGTTCTGTAATAAAACTCAGTGTAAATTGCTGGACAAAATGACAACATCCTTTTGGAAAAGAAGGAACTGGTTCCTCAACGACCCGTACCAGAAGTACCATGATAGAGTGAACCTGAAGGTGTAAAACCCTCCTAACCTTATTCTTCTCAATTTGCAAGCCAATAAAGATGTGTCTGATACAAGTATCTGTATTTCTGTTGTGTTCTATTGAAACGTGTGTATGAATTCACGGTTGAGGATTCATCATGTGTAAATGCATCTAAATAAATTATTATTTTTTATTGTGTAAATTTCAAAAATTATTTATTTGAAAAATGTGCATCCTCTACAATGGGTGCATACGTTTTTGCATATATATATATATATATATATATATATAATTTTTTTTTTTTTTACTGGTTTGTTGGTTGATTAGCTGATTTAAAAAACAAACAAACAAAAATGAGATGGTAGTAAAAAAATATTTCAATGCTTTTGCGTTCTCTGCGTTCCCCTGAGAAACTTTACGTTCACTTGCAAAGAACACAAAAGTTTGGCGAGCGAATGCAAAGTTTCTCGAGGGAACGCAAAAGCATTTTGTTTCCTCCTGTATCATATTTTTCCACCGCTATATCTCTTTAGGGGCTCTGTAGAAGCTTAATCAATTGATAATTATTAAGAATTAACATATTTTGACATTTTTATGTTTTGTGATTTGAATGGTTCTGTTGTCATATGTGTCATATGTGTTCAGTCAAAAAATGTAGCCAGTGAATAAGTGGCTGATTTAGTTTCATTAGTTATTAGTTTCATTAGTCATATTTATATACGTAATCATATAGATTATATATTTAATGTTAAACATATTAATATTTTATTTGTTATTATTTACACTGGATCAGGGAAGGAAATAAAAGTAACTCTTGTATTTTGCAGATTAAATAAGAACAAGGACACAAGGTTTCACGTTCACCTTTTAATTTCTGAATGCTGATACATATTGAGGTTTTTAAAACAGATTTCACTCTTTTACATCAACTTCTGTCTTTTTCACTCAAGATTTATTCAATTAAGGACTTGAACAATGACATACAGTATATTCTGGCCTGCCAGACATGACAGCTGTGGAATATGGAGATGCTGCTGCAAGCCGTTATGTTTTTTAAAGAGGATAGTGAAAAGACATTTTGACTGACTCCTACTCTGAAAAACCTGGCACGTTCAACTAAAAAATACATGATATTATTTCAGCTTCAAATGGGTTTTAACAGACAGCCAGGACTTTAATAGTCGTTAAGGCACAGCCTCTACTTAAGTCCCTGAATTTAAAAACATATCGTCATTTGACACGATTAAGCACGCATGTGTAGTGTCTCACTTTCATATTAGAAATTGCTGATGCAGAGAGTAGTCGACGAGATTCATATTTAACACCATATTAGTACAGAGCCCCGAAAGGGTATATGGTAATGGAAATATACACTCACCGGCCACTTTATTAGGTACACCTGTCCAACTGCTCGTTAACACTTAATTTCTAAGCAGCCAATCACATGGCGGCAACTCAGTGCATTTAGGCATGTAGACATGGTCAAGACAATCTCCTGCAGTTCAAACCGAGCATCAGTATGGGGAAGAAAGTTGATTTGAGTGACTTTGAACGTGGCATGATTGTTGGTGCCAGAAGGGCTGGTCTGAGTATTTCAGAAACTGCTAATTTACTGGGATTTTCACGCACAACCATCTCTAGGGTTTACAGAGAATGGTCCGAAAAAGAAAAAACATCCAGTGAGCGGCAGTTCTGTGGGCGGAAATGCCTTGTTGATGCCAGAGGTCAGAGGAGAATGGCCAGACTGGTTCGAGCTGATAGAAGGGCAACAGTGACTGAAATAACCACTCGTTACAACCGAGGTATGCAGCAAAGCATTTGTGAAGCCACAACACGCACAACCTTGAGGCGGATGGGCTACAACAGCAGAAGACTCCACCGGGTACCACTCATCTCCACTACAAATAGGAAAAAGAGGCTACAATTTGCAAGAGCTCACCAAAATTGAACAGTTGAAGACTGGAAAAATGTTGCCTGGTCTGATGAGTCTCGATTTCTGTTGAGACATTCAGATGTTAGAGTCAGAATTTGGCGTAAACAGAATGAGAACATGGAACCATCATGCCTTGTTACCACTGTGCAGGCTGGTGGTGGTGGTGTAATGGTGTGGGGGATGTTTTCCTGGCACACTTTAGGCCCCTTAGTGCCAATTGGGCATCGTTTAAATGCCACGGCCTACCTGAGCATTGTTTCTGACCATGTCCATCCCTTTATGGCCACCATGTACCCATCCTCTGATGGCTACTTCCACCATGTCACAAAGCTCTAATCATTTCAAATTGGTTTCTTGAACATGACAATGAGTTCACTGTACTAAAATGGCCTCCACAGTCACCAGATCTCAACCCAATAGAGCATCTTTGGGATGTGGTGGAACGGGAGATTCGCATCATGGATGTGCAGCCGACAAATCTGCGGCAACTGTGTAATGCCATCATGTCAATATGGACCAAACTCCCTGAGGAATGCTTCCAGCACCTTGTTGAATCTATGCCACGAAGAATTGAGGCAGTTCTGAAGGCAAAAGGGGGTCCAACCCGTTACTAGCATGGGGTACCTAATAAAGTGGCCGGTGAGTGTATATACGAGATGGGAGGAAAAAAATTGCTAGCGAACACAAAGATTCTCCGGGGGGGGGGGGGGGGGACGCAAAACATTTGAAAGCATTGACATACATAATTTTTTCTCCCATCTCATATATTTTTTCCATTAGCCTACCATGTCCCTTTAGAAACTCCATAATACAAAAATGGGTTAAGTTCATATTTTATATTATCATATAATGTTCATATTATCATATTACGTTCACTTAAGACAAAACCGACTATGTTTTTGTAAATACTTGCCAAAACGGCTATTAAACCATAATTTTGTGTGTATTTGTCCGTACAAGCGCGAAAGAGCTTTCGTGACGCTTTTGCAGATTTATCCATGTCTGCTCTTCTCTTTATCCTAGACGTTTACATTTTTGAACGTTTTATGAGACATGCAGCAAATGTATGCCAACTTATGTCCAGCCGGGTAGATCAGCATGTTACAATTTGGTTTTTATTTAGTTATTGTCTAGTTTTTGTCAGTGAAAAAATGTCGTTGACAAAATTAAAGGGACAGTTCACCCAAAAATGAAAATTCTGTCATAATTTGCTCAACCTCAAGTTGTTCCAAACCTGTATGAGTTTCTTTCTTCTGCTGAACACAAAATACATTTTGAAGAATATGAGTAACCAAACAGTTATTGGACCACATTGACTTCCATATATAGTAAGTCAATGAGCCTATCAACTGTTTGGTTACAAACATTCTCTTCAAAATATCTTCTTTTCTGTTCAGCAGAAAAAAATTATTCATAAAGGTTTGGAAGAACAAATGATGATAGAATTTTTATTTTTGGGTGAACTATCCATTTAACACTGCTTCATAAATAGCTATTCTGTATACCGGTATTTTCCTACTGAATGATCCTACCGAACTACACTGCTCTTCATATGAAATTTCAAAGTTTGTGCCTTTAATGACCTGAATATTTAAAGAAGCAACAGTCAGCTGTTTTTATCTGCAGTTAAAAGGCCAAAGATGGTTCATAGCACTATAAAATCATACCCATCTCATTGAGGAACTAATGCTGCATTTTAATCTTGCTGTAAAAACTGGAAACGCAAAGCCAACAACAAGAACGTCAACCAGATTATCACTATTCCAATGATTTTTGTTAGTTTGCACTGTTGATAATTTCACAATTAAAATTGTGACAAAATGACAAACTGTTCCTGAGGCAGATTTTTTTTTTTTTTTTTTAGTGAAGTTTGATATAACCATTTGAACAGCTACAAGATCTCAAATACATAAAACCTTGAATTTGATAAAGCATGTTTAAGAGATTAGGATTGTCATCATTTTCACAGTATAAAACACCTTTCTAAACATAAAATGTTCTAAGATCCAATGGTGTTCGCTATGCTTTTCTTTTAGAGTTGATACACTCCATGATATAGAGATTTACAGCTCTAAGTGACTCCAATACACTCGACTGTGATCGGGAATGATACGACAAACTGTGAGTTTCTCTATGATACATGCTAAGCTAGTGTAATTGCACAGTGTTTTTAAACATTTGTTTCTCCCACATATGACTAAATTCCTAAATGCTACAAAAGTAAAACCACTACATGGAGTGAAGGACCCGCTTTGTGTTGTACCAAATCACCACTAATGCCTGCTCAACTCTGATAAGGTACTTTAATACTGAACACGCTCAGAAAGTGGAGGCCAAAAAATGTGAGACACATTCAAATTGTCATTGTTAATACATGCAACATCAAGCAACTGAAGAGGTTTAAGAAGCCAACAAAGAGAGAGAGAAAAAAAAAAAAATTTAAAGGCTTAAAAAATTCCATGTTTTGAAAGGTTTCTAAATGATAAAAAACACTGTACATGCCTAATAATTAAAGTAATGAAGTAAAACAAGAATGTCCATAAACAACTATCAACTTAAAGGGATAGTTCACTTTGAAAGTGACCACGTCCAAGTGATCTGAGGGCGCGGGCGCTTCGGTCTGCGCAAGCGCCGGAAGTGATCTCTCGCGCGTGTACGTCACTCATTGTTTACACAGAGATTTCGGAAGGGTTACCTTTCACTGTGAAGATCTAAACATATTTAGATATACAGGAAATCGTAATGGAAGACGATTTCGATATATCAACAGACAACGTTGAATTTTTTTCCCAACCGCGCGAGAGATCACTTCCGGCGCTTTCCGGCGCTTGCGCAGACCGAAGCGCCCGCGCCCGCGCCCGCAGATCACTTGGACATGGCTGTGGTTACAAGAGGTAAAAACGATATAAAAACTGTTTGTTTTCTCACACAAACCGCTCGTTTCGTGTCTTAGGCCATCAATGTGTACTTACATTTACGAGTCATTAAATCATGTTTAATTTGGACTTCTCTGTGCATGCTCTTTGAGGTGGTGACCATAGACCTGCATTATATGACTGACAGACAAGAACGGTTTGACCTAAAAATATCAAAATTGAAACTACTGCGGAAACAAAGACACCTACATCTTGGATGCCCTTGAGGTAAGCTAAAACATACCAAAAATTAATTTCAAAGTGAACTATCCCTTTAATTGCCTCTTTCGGTCTGGAAAAGCTTTTCTTTTGTGAGTGTATTTTTAACAAGTTGGTTATTGAATAACTTTATTTATACAGTATATATATATATATATATATATATATATATATATATATACTTACAGCACAAAAGGTTTATGGCTGAACTATTGAAAGTTTAGCAGAATTGTAAAATCGATTGCACTTTGTCCATCTATTTTAAATCATATATCATGTCAGGCATTGTAATCAATACCTTAATTTGGTTCAACTACAAGCTTGTTTTAAAAAGTCCCTCTCAACAGAAGAACATGCATTTGTTTATAGGCTACATATATCATGAAATGAATGTTATGTTTGCCAAACACACCAACCATTTCAGTGCAGTGCATCTCAACTATTGTTCTAAGAAAGATTGGTTCGGAAACGCTTTGCTTCCCAGTAGTTGTTGAGTTGGGGCGGAAATGAGTGCAGCCGCCATAAAAATAAAGTATGCTCATAAACAATAAGTAATTATGGTTGGGTGACTCCAGACATAAGACCAGTGGGACATGCATGTGTTTGTTTCTCCCAAAATCATACCAAGAAATCAAACAAATAATCAACACTCAAACATTTCATAAATATGTACAAAACAAGTTCAATAACCCTAAAAGAGTCTCAGAGCAGCAGTATGTACACAGATGTGTTGCCTAAATAGATGAGTGTCAAAGATCAGAAGCGAAAGGTTGCACATCGCTTTGGTTACCTCATTACAGAGCAAGGCTGCTTTTCAATATTTGAACATTTTGGCTGCATTCCCTTTTCCCCCCTCTGCCTTCTCCTGTTGCGTCTCCTCGTGTTGCAGGTTAGACAGCTAAAGCGCTCTCGGAGCATATGCAAAGTCACATGGCTTCGGGGTCTGAAGAAAGGGCGTTCTTTGATCTGGATCGGGTGAAAGGTCTTAGGGATCTAGGAGGAGGCTGAGAGAGAGAAGAGATCTGTGAGAATATGTCAAGCGAACTGAGTCATTCAGAGAGCAATGCACACTTCATGTTTACTGTTCACAAAATAAACATGATCACAAGATCAGGTCAACATGAGTAAGGACATCTATGATGTGTCAATCCAAGGAAAGACAAACGTGACCTACATCTTTTGGGAATGCATGACTGAACGTGCTTTGTGTGCAAAGGTTTTTAGTCAGTTAGCTTAGTCAGGAGTTAAACTGGTCCACCAGCTTTGGTTCATAAAAGTACAAAATGAGTGGTACACACATTTTGGCATCATTTAGCAAGTATACGCACTACGCAGTGCTTGATGTGAAAAAAGTCTCTTGTGAACTGGCTGGGATATGCAAATCAGCATAATAAAAAATGACTTCCGATAGGGTAGATCGACTCTGCTTGCATTCACGTGATTTGTCGAGATGAGAGATAGATAATTCATGTAGTGCCCCCTGGGTAGTGATGATGGGAGAAGCGAAGCTTTTCGAAACTTTCTTCACAAAATGATTAACCGCTTCGAAGTGTTCGAAACGCCACATGCTGATGACCCCTGCTAATCAGAACAGTGGAAATGCAGCAAAAACTCAGGCCAAACATGCATAAAACGCCTTTTACAAACCAATTGCAAATGTTTTATTAAAGGTGTAATCAATTAAATGCAATTAACAAATAATCTAATACCATTAAATATGAAGTATCTTTATAATATGTGATATTTTATTAAATTGTAGCACCTGTTTTACATGAGCTTGGTAAATCAGACCGATAAGAGACTTTTAAAGTCCCCCTGTAGTCAATCATTTTAACCCCTAAAACTCATCTTTGATCACCAAAATGGCATATGTAAAAAAAAATTATTGAAAAAAATGTCATGCCTTAACATAGCCGGAATGTAACTCTACACTCTTGCCTTATTTAGTATACGCGGTAGTATACGCAAGTTAGCCCCGCCTCCACTCACTCACACTGGTTGACGATCACACGTTGATCTGATTGGTTACAAGGTAGTTTGTGACGTCAGAAACACCTGCGATTTCAAACCGCGTTTTTGAGACTGTATTTGGTTCACTGCAGTTTTAAGGAGAAAATACTCAGCAATGCTGTCGACTTATGAATTTGCACATGGTTTGTCTTAAAGCATATTAAAAACACCACATAGACATATAAACAAAATTAAAACTTGATTTTCATCACAGGGGGACTTTAAATACAACTCTTCCTTTTTATTATACAAATTTGTCATTAAATTTGTCTACCTTTATCAAATTGATCCGAGATCAGGTAAAAATCATATATTGACACTGGTTTATGGGTTCATGAGATCGCCCCTAGCGGCAAACCATTGAAAGTTTTAATAATAATTTCGAATCGAAACTGTTATGACGTTTAACAAAGCCTCAAAATCACATGACTTTGGCAGTTTGATACGCGCTCCGATTCACTGGTTCGACACAAATGCGAAACAAATGATTCAGGTTTCACGCTTTGACTCGGAGTGGAAAAGTACCGGCAACATGTGAGAAGTGGCGGTACGCTAACGATTAAAAGATAGAAGTGTACGCGTGCACCAAAAAACAAGCATCATCCATCTTTGGAAGCCTATTTCTCACTCACACCGTGTCTACACCAAACGCAAAGAATGTAATGCGACAAAATCAAACAGAATCTATTATAATCAGTGATACTGTCTATAATGGACGCGGGGTGGCGTTACATGTCGAGACACCAACACGAAGCTGATACTGCGATCTATTTCTGACACATGCTTGCACTACTTCCGACTACAGGACAAATGGATTTGGATCTTTGGCTTGTTCAGTGTAGACAGCCTCAAGCTGCGATGCCATGCGACAATGGATATATGCCTGGTGTAGACATGGTGTCCGAGTTAAAAAGGTAATTGTGAAGTTTAAGTTATAAAGTCCTAAAAATGATTGTTACGAGATTACAAAAAATAAAGTTGTTACACATTCACAATTACAAGGAAAAATTCTTGGATATAGTCACGTTTATAAGAATTAAAGTATTCTTATTCTCGAAATTACAAGAAAGAAGGTTGCAACTGTGAAACAAAGTCACAATTACAAGTCCCAGTTGTGGGATATAAAATTGCAATTACCGTACAAGAAATAGTCTCAATTGTGGGATACAAGTCAGAATTACAAGAATTAAAGTCTAAATTATGTTAAAAAAGTCACCATAGTAGGAAGGTCGCAATAACAGGAAATAAATCCACAAATACAAGAAATTAAGTCGTAATTGCGAGATATAAAATCATACGGTCACAACTACAAGAAATAGTCACAACTGTGGAAAAAAAAAGTCCTTTAAGGGCTTCTACACACGTTATTATTGTAGTGTGTGTATGTTTACACACACTACAATATGTAGGCTAATGTTTGTTTAGATGCTACTCTTGTCCTTCCACACATGTAAAAGGCAGCAGCGTGATCTTAACTATACTGATATTAATCACAGTATGACATTATGGTGCTCTTACAGTCATTATCACGTCCACTCTTAGAGTAGCAACAGTGCTGAACTCCATTTATAGACCGATTGTCTTACAGTGAACGGATGAACATCAAGGATTTTAGAGATGCCTTTGTAACTCTTCCAATGTAAGTCAACAGTTCTTAATGGTATGTGTACTGAGACGTCATTTGTTCAAGGCGTGGATCGGTTGACTCTTGCTGGTGGTGAACACAGCAGCGTTGGTTAGTGATTGAGCAGGTTAGTCAAAACACAGCTAGCAGCCATGTCTTTTCCTTATGACTCACTGCAAACCAATGCTAACCGTGACCTGAGGTAAGAGTGTTAGACTCGCTCACAGTCAACTCTTGCTGGTGAACAGCAGCCTTGGTGAGTGATTGAGAAGGTTAGTCACAACAGAGCCCCAGTGCAGCCGGGCAAGTCAACAGCTAGCCATCCGAACGCAGGGGTACCTCAGGGGCACGCCTCTTAAATCTGAACTGGAGTGAAGCAGACGAGGCAAATTCCTCCTTCTCCTGGGGCTCCTCTAAGGATACAGGTGGGGGTGCGGATTTATCCTCGAAGGACTCAGGGGGGGAAAGCTGTGGAGTCGTGGGATCAGGTTGAGGCGAAGCGGGCTGCGATTGGGTCGGGGTGGGTGTGGGAGTCAGCGGGCCAGGAGGCTCCACGTTCAACATCTCATATTCGGTCATGTCAAAATCATGGCCTGTACCATGACAATCAAAACAAAGACTGTGACACCACTGCATTTAAACTCTGAATAGATATTACTGGTGTGTCAAAGTGTTTTTAAATCCATTATACATTTCATTATGGAAGACTCGAAAATCATGTAAAGCTGAATGACAATCTGTTGAGTCACCATAGTTAGTTTTGACACTGTGTGATAGACAATGCTAACAAATGATTGGTGCAGTTGACAATACTTCCTGTTTTTTTTTTGTTGTTCTTCCTAAACTGCACTGAAATAAGAATCTCACATCTATAACTGGAATGGGAAACTGGTTTATCACTAGCTAATCACTTTCTGTACTTGGAGAACAGATGAATAAAATGAAAACTAGACACTTGTATTAAATAACACTAAAGGCACGTTCACACAGAGCATGATAACTATTGCAATAATTATATTAGTAACACACCATCGGACGATAACGTTCTGATTATTATAAGAGTGAGAAGTGGGCGTTTATAAGATCTTATATTATAAGATCTGCCACTTTAAATGCTCAAGCCTTTTATAGCCGGCTGGATTCCCATTGGCTGTCAATGTTTATATCGTTCATCGGCAGGAAAAAATCTTTCTAAAAAGTAAATCCCATGATGTTTTTATCTCTGTCATTATCGTTAGGGGTCATTAACAAAGGATGTGTTTTTGTGTTTAAAAACGTGAGACACTGAAAAAGATGCAAGTGCAATGGTAATAAATGCTTGTCTATTGCATGTTTACATAGAAAAACAATGGAAAAACAGTGCAGTGGAATGAAAAAACACATTCTGTGTAAACGGCCCCTTATAGTTGTGACTACGGTATTCTCATAGAAATAAAATGATTATTAAAACATTAAAGTTATCGTCCTTGTTGTGAACAGGCCGTAAGTCTTGTCATTTGGTTATGGGCTGATGAATGTTTGGCAGAGAGATACAGTATGGTGGAATGGATAATATATGTAACAATTAATATTTTCATAGAAAAAAAATTCCTAAACTCGTATGACTCTTTCTTATGTGGGATAGAAAAGGAGATCTTCAGCAGAATGTCCTGGCAGCTCTTTTGTATTCAGCTCTCAAGTGAATGAAAAAAGCACAGTCAAGTCTTCCTGAAGCCATGGTTTTGAGTGAGAAACAGGCAGAAATTAATATTTTTATTTGCTGAAATCTTCAACTTAGCTCTCAGATCACATGTGAAAACATGTCGCACCAGGTTTAACATCAATGACGCCACAATTTGCCTTCATTTGTCATTTGGTGACCATCTGCAAACATAAATGAGATTTGAGAGCTACAGTGGAAGTGAAGATTTCAGTCTGTTCCTCATACAAAGCCATCGAATGACTACACAACACCTGGAATGTGGCAGACAAGTTGTATAGGCACTTTTCAGGTCCTTTTTTATATATTTGGAGAAAAGACGGACCTTAATCATGCACTTTAATTGTATGAAAAAGAGCAGGAATATTCTGTCAAGTATCTCTTTTTGGGTCTGAAACAACATGACGTTGAATAATGATTTTTGGGTGAACTATCCCTTTAAGAGCTTTTCTTTTTTTTTTTTTACGATCCTTTCACTGAATCACAGTAATGTGTCATCGAAGTAAATGAAGATTAGAGATCAATAAACAATTTTCAGTTTCAAACATTTACCCAGGACATTGGCAGGGCTACAACACTCGGGTTAAGCATTAATTACATGTAAGGGATGATTGCTAAACCAAACAGGATTAGCAGAAATCTGATTGGCTGGTATAGGATCTTCTTCAAAGGGTTAAGAGGAATAGAGCACTGATCACTTGGCTGGGCATTGCTTACCCTTGCTGTAACCGGCCTCTGATTTGCTGCGCATCATGGTGCGTGTCCTGTGCTGCGTGTCTGCAGGTTGAGTGGTTACAGAACTTGCATTCTTAGCCTGGCCCTCTGCCTGGAAAGATGACAGGTCCTGCATGCTGAAACTGCGAAGTCGCTCGGAGAGAACGCCTTGACCCTGGATCGAGAACATGGAGAGTCAGATGGAACTCCTTAAGAACGTCTAAATACTGTCATGCTGTGAACTAGACTATCATCAACAATCTGTTTTGTTTGTAGAACAGGAGCATGATGATGTTGAAGTAGTTCAGTTTTGTTTATCTAGCCTGTTTAAATTACCATAAGGTTTAAATATAGTAAATATTGACTTCAAAAGAAACTTATATTATGTAAAATTAAACTAACACTCAGTTGATGTATAGGTTACAACTAGGCTCGAAGCGTCACCTGTGGTGAGAACATTTCGGAGCTGGTGTGTGCCAACCTTTACTTCCTTTAAAAAAAAAAAATTGTGGTTGAACACCCTCATTGAGCTTTTTTGCCTGTTAGATGTGCACACTTTGTGTTGAATGATCTTTATAGGTTAAAATGTACCCAAAAGTGATAATACTTTTAAGCAATAAATACCATGTTCTCTGGCCTTAGAACTATTGGGTAAACTATTATCTAACAAAACGTGACCTGTCCCACCTAAATGGTCTTGACCCTCTCGATTGCATCGAACTGTATTAAACCCAAAAACCAGTGTAATAATTTTGACATCTTTTGAACTGATATTCAAATCGTTATAGATGTCAAACACAACATTCAATAAAAAATTGTGACATCTAATAAATAACATAATTTGGACAAGTTTTTACATGAATTGTAGTGTTGACTGCATCTGTCATGATCAACTATTCAACCGTGCTACCAGGGTTATTATAAAAATATTTTTTTTATAATTTATCGAAAATATAATTTTTATCAATATCTAGTTTTGTCTGAAAGCCATTTTGTCTCAAAGAAGCTAGCCTATAAGGCATAGCTTTATTTAGGGTAAATTTGTTTCACTTTGTTATAAATTTTGGTAACACTTTATTTTAGTGTCATTGTTACATGCAGTTACTATAGTTATAACTATAAATTATGCATAATTACATGCAACTAAAGCAAACCAAACCCTATAGTAACTACATGTAATTACTTAATATTACTCAGTACTTAAATGTATAATTACAGTGTAACAAAGACACCTTCAAATAAAGTGTAACCTAAAGTTGATTTATTTGTTTGTTTATTTTTTCATGTTTATTTACTGTTTATTACTAGACAATAATGAAACCACACAAACCTATATTCAGAATTTGGTAATTTTGGTAACAGACCAAAACTTCAAGAGCTTTAAGCCTTTGTACTCTTTTCATGGAAGTGTCATTTCCTTTAACAACAAGATAAGAGCATTCGATTACCTTGGCGGCAGCCATTACTGCGGCTGTTGCTGCCACATTCAGGCCTCTCCTTCCAAAATGCACCAGGGTGTCATAGCTTTTATCTTTTGCTTGGCAAAGGTATTCATCGATGTCCTGAGAAAGAGACACAAACAGTATTTCACATATGCTGTATGAACAGTGTGCAACTGATTCGTTTCATTGCACACTTTCAGATCAGCATCATGTTTAACTTTCTATGAGCTAAAGAACATTTGAATAGTTTTTATTTTCTCTTTGTTATCAGTGTTTGTCAAATGTACTTGTCCTTCTGACGAATTTCCTGCCTCAAGAGAAGAGGAAAGACTGTGGAAAATCACAGTACCATTTCCTTACCACTGCTCATCCTCAGTCAACCAGGTTACAGGAAAAAGAGTCAAACGTGCACTTCCTCCTCGACTCTAACAATTCACTTTCTTAGCATTAAAACAGAAAGATTCTCCACAGCTGTTAAGGATGATGCTTGTTAGTTTGTTTAACATTTAGAATAGAAATGCTTTAAAAAGTGATTTTTATATAAAAAAAATGAAATGTATTAGTGAAAGCTCTCGTCTATAGTATATTTTGATCTTTTTTTCAGCCTAGCAGGGTAAAAATAAATAGATCATCACAAAAGAAAAACAAAACATTACCTTCTCCTTAGAGGACAGTGTAGGGTGGACAAATTTTCTATACAGCACACTGGATCCCTTTGTGTACGGGGAAAGTAACCACACGACAAAGGCAATTTTGAGCTCATAGTAGAATGGGAGCCTTCAAAACACAATAAAAGACAATAAAATACAATCATACGCTCATGTGTCATGGTGGTTAACGCCCACATCAAACCGCCATTTGCATCAGCAGAAATGAAAATATGAGAAAGTCCTAACAATAGGAAATGACCAAAGCAATGACGCATGTCCTTACCAGCACAGAAAGATGTCAGTAATCACTTCAACTGTAGTAAAAAGTGCAAATATTATCCAGTACATCATCCATTTCACCTGTTTGGAATAAAGCAGTTTAGGAATCAGCAGGCAAAAAGAAAAGAGCTCAACTGAAACATATCTGAGCTGTACTTACATATTCTCTCACATCTTTTGATTTAACAGCTTTATATGAGGAGTATGCCGGGTAAAGGGTACCAAATATGAGCCTGTGAAAAATGCAACAAACATGCTTAAGATAAACAGAGACAAGTGGAAAACAGACAGAAAAGGACAAGGGTATTTTTCATTGATCAGGCAAGACATCATATTTGTAAGGGACAAGTTGTCATTTGTCACATTAGGTCTTATGTCTGTTTGAGTTGGACTTTTAGGGTAGGTTTACACAACAACTGTGCTAAAAACGAAAAAAGTTTTTCCTTTGCGTCTTTCCCTTACAGATCCCTGTTCACACGGCTCCGCGTAAACGATTAAAAACGCTGTGTTATACTGTGAGGCCAGTAGCTGGCGATGTCACAAAACTAAGCGCCTATAGACTGAACATGTAAAACGCATGCGCATGAAGTCACCGTTTTCACAAATTTACATTTTTGTAGTTTACATGGAGTCTGGCGGTTTTCTGTTTCCTTTGTTTGAATTAGTTACTATGGTTACTCATTGTTTGATTAATCCACCTCACCTGTTTCTTGTTTCCTCCCCTTGTTAACCTTGATATAGGGCTTGTTTTCAGTCATTCTTTGTTCCGTTCTCATCAATGTTTGATGGTCGTTCCATTCATATTTAGAAACTTCTGATAACCTGAGTATTTTGTTATTTTGAGCTTGTTATTGAATAAAGCCTGCTGCGCATTGATCCTGCTCTTTTTCTATATACATTTTAAATGTGTATGTATAATAGTATCTGTTCTATCCTGTTTTATGAATTGTTTCAAAATTCTAAATTTTGCTGAAAGCTATTAAATATCTTATTTACAATTTAAGTTATTTTTTTTCACATTTCATTGTTTAAAAAAAATAATATTTTATTGTAGATTAAAATGTCAAAAAAGGTATTTTTTGCTGATCAGTGTCATTACCCCATAGTGTATGTGCTTTAAATTAAGTGTTTCCCCCCCTGGGAAATAATAGTGAATTATTGATTTTCAAAAAGGTGTCTTTGTTACACTGTAATTATACATTTAAGTACTGAGTAATATTAAGTAACTACATGTACTTACTAGGGTTAAGATTAGGGGTTGGTTTTGGTTTGGTTTAAGGTTAGTTGCATGTAATTTTTTTAGTTATTATAACTATAGTAATTGCATGTTACATATGTACATATGTAGCAATGACGCTGTAAAATAAAGTGTTACTCAACTATCCCCATTCTCCCCTAGGAGAAAATTCGTCAAAATGACATCATTGCTTACAAGCATTACCTCATTTGCGCATGTAGCTACTGAGATCTCTTCAGAAATAACATGGTTTTAAAGTTATGTAGGGTTTTGTAAGGTAATTCAAAGACGCTTACATGATTTACAATATTAAAAATTGCATAACAATAGCCAGTTATAATTTCCATCTAGGTCCACTTCCCTGAAAGGAAACCGCTCCACTCCCTTTCCATTATTGATATTTGAGATAACCTCCCTTTAGTATGCCTGGAGTCTCCTTTAATCAGCCAAGAATATATTTCTTGCAATTCTTGTCTATTGCAGCGCCATTGTAGCACGTAAACAGGCGACAGACCTGTACGACCCCGTTTATATTCCAGGTTTACATTCTGCAAGCTTGATAAAAATAGACTTGACAAACAGCCTAAATGCTCGTCAAGGGCGCAAAGAAAACATCACACGCCAATGGGACGGAACGACTAGCGTTTGCACTGTATAGGTTAAATGGGTTTTTGGAAAGTGCTAGATAGCTAAAAGAAGTGCCCTGCACCTGTGTTTAAGCATTTGAGTTTAGCTCTATTCCGGTGTCCTCTCTTTCTCCCAACCAACCAGGCCAGCAACAGCTGCGCCTCTGACCCGATCAAATGACCCAAATCCAGAGTCACTCCTGACCCACAAAACAAAACATTACCGACTAAATAGTGTAGACTATCTAGGGCACAAACACAGGTTTGTTGCATTTGTCGTTTATTTTTAGACTCTTCACACAGCTAGTTTACTACACAAGTGTTGGCATATGTGCAGTGTCATCGGATATTGTGATCTAAAATGAATTGACCAGCTATTTAGAGATGTTGCACACACAGCAAGAGGATTGACTGGAGCGCTATAACAAATAAGATATTTACGTGGAATAAATTGAAACGCGCACTTCAAATGTTAAGTCAATAATAAAATAAATGGTGAAAAACCCACACATTAGTGGTCATCAGCTGGTTGACCATCCCATTGTCTTTCCATTATACTGACACATCAAGACCTGCTCGATTCCAAACAACAGATTCAACATTCGAAATCGAATCCTATTTTGTGCATTTTCACTGAATTATGCAATTGAATCAAGTGTTGAATAAAACGTATTGCTTCAATAGCTGAGCTAAAACTGTTTTTATATCCTGCATAATTCACCGTGTCACTGGTGTCAGAATTCTCATTTAGGAGAATCATCCATTTCCCTTAGCTTGCAAGTGTACAGTTAGCCTTTGTAATAGCCTATCAACATGTAAACAAAATAATCAAAAGACTAATAATCAGGACGAATCTGGCCTGATACATAACCATATATGTGATTCTGTTCTGCCTAGAATTAAGAGGTGCTCTAGAAACCCTTGCATTATCGCATCAAAAAATAATAATCTGAAAAACAACATGTTTATATAAGGATTAAGCATTCTCATGCATCCCAGTGAAAATGCTGTAAAGAGCAGAATGAAGACTTACACCACAAGCCTAGAAATAATCCAGGAGACCATTGCGCTGCGAGCGGCGTGTTGTCAGCAGGGAGGAGTTTCCTTCAGACTGCTGTCGGCATTGAGCGCTTGACAGACAGACGCGACAGCGCATGCGCACTGACCTCAACATGTGGCTTCTAGATAATGGGCAAAAATAACAACAACTTATACGACCCAAAATAGATATATATTAAGTAACATTAGTGAAAAAAGGTCATTATAATTATGCTTTTATATGTATAATATATATGTATAATGTATAGGCTATGCTGCCAATCGATTAAAAAACAACAACTAATTAATCGCACATTTTTCTGTAAATAATCGCACCTAACATTCAAGTTTTAATATATTTTTAATAATTTAACATTTAATCTCCAAATGAATAAAACAACAAAGACAGTAGCCTATATTTTAAATATTTGTTTAATGGCATTTTTTTATGAAAGAAGGCGGCATCACCAATACCAATACTGCTGCTGGTGTCTTTATGAAATTGATGTTTCTCTCAATTTTAGCAATTAATAATTATATTCATTCAGCTGTATAATTGAGTAGGCTATACAGTATAATTGAATATATAATTAAAAGCTATACATTTTAACATTTATTAGGCTTTAAAATATATATATATATTTTAATTCAAGTGAACTTAAAACAATCTTCACATAAACCCATTATAATAAATTTAGCTGTGCCGGCCTCACTTTTTTTTATAGGCCCAGTCAGACCGGTTCAGATTGACTCAAAATGCACAAAAAGTTACTGTTTTTGTTGTTTTGACCCATGTAATCTTGTATACAGTGTTTTAAGATTTTCAGTCTAACAGGTAAGATAGGCTTGTACTGAAATTGAATGAAGTTATCAAACACTTCACAGTCTTCACTCCATAAATTAAATATAGATTAAATCCTTATTAAAGAAACAAAAGTTATTCAGTCAAGAGCAGTGAGTAATTTTCTCTTTAATACTTTGATTATTATTAATGACAGACAGAAGGGGGTTTATAGGCTGCTGTCATAAGACCTGCCACACATGACACGGATCTGACAAACCTGGCACGTTGGCATAATTTTGTGTGTTTTTGTCCATTCAAGCACTGTCTGAAGCAGCTTTCTGTGCGCATGAGTCGTGTGTGTGTCACACAGACAGGAGATCCACAGTATTGCACTGCCTTTTGTGTCTTTTCGCGCTGCTTGAATGGTTTAAAAGCATTCGCATGAATAAGAGCGTGATCATATAATGTAACGCCACCCAAAGGATGATGGGAAAACCGGATGCTGCGTTAAATATTTTTAACGTGTTAAACTGAAAAAAAAAAATCACATGCGCTAACATGTTCATTTTGAGACACTATATTAAGTAATACTACTTAGTTGATTACTACTAAGTATTTGGGTGCGTTTAAAATGCTATTTAAATACTCTAAACTCCCTCGTTGAAGCTTAAATGTTCATCTTTGTGCAATAAACAGACCTTCTATAGAGGAGTAACCCAGATTCAAAGTGAAAAGACTCAAAAGATCTGGTTTCCTTCACAAAGCTTTGGATGAGTAGACAGAGAGGGAGTCAAAGGGAGAGAGATTGAGGTAAGTAAAATAACCCTCTGAGAATCCCGAATAAAACAGCAGGTAATAACATAGTCAACAAGGGCTATTCATTACTAGAAGCACAATGTAACTTATAAAAGATCTCAACAGATACAATACAACACTGTTTTATCAATGATGTAAAATGTACTCTTTTTGCCTATAAAATTTTATTAGTGTTACCAACATATTTTTCCCATTTACAAATTTTAGTGCAGATGTGAATGTTTTTCCACAACAGCAAAGGTATGAAATGAAGCAAAAAGAATCAATTTGGTTCATTAGCCAACATATTGAGACTGGATTTATAGAAAATCCATACTTGTAACTCCAGAGTGCTCAGCTTGTCAAATAAGCAGATCACGCCATACTAAAAAAATCATTATAATGCCAGAATGCACAAAGAGTAACTGTTTCATATGTAGACATGTAAGAATAATAGCAAACAGACTATTCAGCTGACCATTCAACTTAAAATATTATATTGAATGAAACCATAAGATAAATTGTCAGCCATTTACATGTTTATCAGGCATTTCAGTCATCTAAAAGCAAAGGCATAAAAAAAATACTCATAAGACAAAACTTACAAAGACAGAAGTGGATTTAAACCATAACAAAAGTCCCAAAGCGGCAGAAATCGACAAAAACAAAGACAGAAATAAGATCAGCTCATTCAAGATCCAAAACACCCGGTGAGCCAGTCAGTTATCGAGCACAGCCTTAATTCTCAAAGCCCGTCTTATTACTTACAAAATAACAATGCAAACGGATTTATTTTTATATTCAGCATTTGTACAAGATTTACAAGTAATGGCTTCCATGAATTTGTCCTACTCAGTAAAACAAAATTGCCAGATGTATGAAAGAACTATTCACTTAGCCCAAATAAGGCTTAAGATAAAACTGCAAATTCAACAACAGAGACAAAACAACTAAGACCAACACCGATATGACGACACTGCACAACAGATCCTTGGACAAGCTGCAGCTATAGGCATAGATTCAAACCAGTGGAGCCCAAATATCCATCAATAAAATGAACTTGAAGTAAAACTTTAATGATTTGAAATAGCCATCCACCTGCTACCATACGAGTACAAGAACTGAATATCTGACTTCACTGTTCATTATTATTATTACACATAATAAAGAGTTAGAAATTGATAGAAATATAGACATTTTATTTCTATTCTATATTCACCTTTTTTTTTTTTAAGTGAAGTCCGAATTTAGTCCTATATTTACCATGCCAAAGTGCCTTTATGGGTAGAAAAGCTACAGAGGAAGTTAGATATGTTGTCTATGCCTATAGAGCTTGAAGGGAACGCAGGTCTTTTAGCTCCTCAGTGCCGCTAGCCTGGACTGCATCGCCTCGATATCTTCTTCTTCCTCTTCCTCTTCGTCTTCTGAGGCTGCCGTGGCTCCGATCTGCACTGGATCAGGCAGGGCATCTGTGACTTTGCTGGGAGCTTTTCCAAGAGCACCTGTTATTAAAAAAAAGAAAAAGCAATACCTTCAGCTTTGGTTCTCCTCCATTAATAACCTGTGAGTGCATAATGACTAGGGCTGGGAATTGACACAAATTTCATAATTCGATTCAGATTCACACGCTTGCGATTCAATATCATATATCATATATATATATATATATATATATATATATATATATATATATATATATCATTTAAATTTTTCTCAAGGAAAAAAAACATCGATCAACTAATGCTGTAAACTAGGGGTTTTCAAACTGTGGGTCGCAGAGTGGGAAAAGGTGGGATGTGCAGTCACTTGGCTGCTGCTAAATTTGCGTTTCAGTGAATGACACACACACACACACACACACACACACACACACACACACACACACACACACACACACACACACACACACACACACACACACACACACACACACACACACACACACACACACACACACACACACACACACACACACACAAAAAAAAACAGTTTAGTCTAGCTTAAGCTACACCTACATCCTATATCATGCTTCAGGTCAGAGGTCACTCTTCTGCCAGAACTCGACTTGCGTACGGCCATTACCGGAAGCCAGTGTTTATAGTTTATAAGGTCATAAATATTGATATTTTCAGAAGGTCTTTATTAACCCCCTGGAGCCATATGGATTACTTGGATAGATATAATAATACATATTAATACATATTATGGATGGAAGCACTTTTATGGGCTTCAAAATCTAAGGTAGATCACTCCCATTATAGAGCTTGGAAGAGCCAGGATATTTTTTAATATAACTAACTATGATTGGGTCTCATTCATGAAACATTCGTAAATATACGAGTAAATATGAGAGTGATTTGCGCGTAAAGAGACCTTCCCGAAAACTCATCTCCTGATTCACAAATACTTCGTAAACGTCAGATGTGATAGTGAAATGTGTGTGTGTGTTAATGAATTCCAATCAGTCGTAAATGGGACACGCGTGCTCGCTCATTCTCAATTACCATAAATCCCGCCCAATAATTCCGACTGACAACTATATATGGGCATCATATTATGACACCAAACGAAGGATTTCAACATGTCTTCTCAAAAACGTATGAAAAAGAAAATTTCTCAGATGCAGAAATCAAAGTTTTATTATCAGGAGTTCATTCAAAACACCACATTTTATTTTCAAGCGTATATGGCTACATAGTGGCGTATCAGGTCCTAAAAAAAAAGGAAGTCTGTAATTATATTGCAGATGCAGTTAATGGAGTTTCATCTGTTAATCAAGCAGTCCCAGAAGTAAAAAGAAAAACCGTATGTAATTACTATATATAATATATTTTCAAAATGCTGTGTAAATAAGTACCCGATTAAGGTGAATTAAAATGCAGCCTTAGTTATTAATGAGCAAAACGTTCGGATGTTAAACTCACTATTTACGCGTGGCTGGGAGCAGGTGTAGATTTCTTCCGTACCAACTAACATTTGGAAAATTTTAATGAATACGAAAATTTATGCCAGAACCACTTTACACACGATTTACACAAAAATTCGTTCTGCTCGTGTTTCACGAATGAGACCCATTGTGTTTGGCTGAAAGAAGAAAGTCATATACACCTAGGATGGCTTGAGGGTGAGTAAATTATGGGATAATTTAATTTTTTAGGTGAACTAACTATTTAAGAATTGATACTGGTTCATCAAAATGAGAATTGATTAAAATCGATAAATCAATATTTTCAACCCAGCCCTAATAATGACAAAATGTTTTGTGCTAAAGCATTTTTCATAATAAGAAAAGGCTGGGGAGGTTGAGATAAAGTGGTCATGTGGTTCCTTACCAGCTGTAACCTCAAAGAGGATCCTGTCAACCTCAGCCTCTGCTTCTTCCTCCATCTCCTCCTCATCCTCCATCCCTCCCAGTGTATCCTCCAGCATCTCCTCTATGATGCCAGCCTGTGTAGTATGAGTGCTCCACGTTAGACGTGTTACATGTGCTCATCGACAAGTTT